AACACCGTCGAAAAGCAAGATGATATCGTCCGCATAATCAGAATCAACTAATCTTTCACCAGACAGCACTTCAACACCTATATCGTGAGATTCCGCAAGGGGAGGCGCCAGTAGTAGCATGTTTTCGCTTATCTGCCCTGCTGTTTGCAGCTGAGTAGGCGACCCTTGATAATCTGCCCGACGGCCGATGCAGGATGAAGTTTCCGGTTGAAGAAAAAGTCACTACACAAACCCACTCACTCAACCCATGCACCCACATACATACTACTAATTAACACATATATATCCAGTGTGGCCTGGTTAATTTGTAACATTGCTGTACCATTACTGATGTTACACGTTTGTATTACCACGAGCAAGCCTCTGTCGAGAAAAAAAATTTACAGAAGGGTAGTAGGGGGAGTTGAATGGTGTAGGTAGAAATTCGTCACATATAGACTCGCTCAGACAGTCGCCACACGCCCGGAAAAGCACTGTACGCGCGTTTCATCCTTTCGGGAATCATCAGCAGTGCGCATTCCATCGGACCCCTGGTAGGGCTTGAACCCGCAACTCGACTGTTGCCAGTCCGTGGTTGAGACCACTGAGCTACGGGGGAAGGCAACGACCATCGTGAATAAGTTACTAGATGTGATATAGCGCTGCTCATTATCCACTGACTTACACGTTACTGCCGTGCATAGGACAGGGTAGCCCCCTCACCAAGCGACGAGCTTACCAAACTTAAGCCGCCAATTAACTTATGGCATTATAAGCAGTTTGGTCTGCATACTGATTACGGAAGAGTAGTAGGGGGAGTTGAATGGTACAAAATTGCATCGATGCTGCTTCGTTGGAAAAGAGACCTCAACAATATCTGTTCCTTCCGCTAGAAGCGCCAGTAAGTGCAGCATGATGTGGCCGTCTAAAGTATAAGATTGACCAAAGCTGTCTTCTGATTAAATTAGGGGCGGTGCCTTCAGCTTCACTGTACAGCCGGATTTCTTAAAATATCAACCCAGAGAGCATGGCATGCCACTCAGAAGAACTAACTCCTCCTGCCACAGTCGTTGACCAAGAAACCGTGAAAGAGTCACCGTGGAGCGTCGCAGAGAGGAGACGATCCGAAGTGACCCCGAGCACCGTCGGGAGGCCTTCGGTGTTGTCTTAAACCAGTCTGATCCACCCACGCTTTGTTTGAGGATCCTTCATGCACCGGAATCTGGTGATTTTGAGCCACAACTCCGTTGTGAGCATGATGTTACGCATTTAGAAAGTTTGATCGATAATCTCCTGGACCTCGATGAGCAAGGCGTTCACACCAACCGAATGTTGTGTCTGGGAAATGGACACCAAGCACTTCTCGTCCTTTGTGAATTATCTTCAAAATGCCTGCTCCTCCGCCGTTGACGTCTGCAAGGTCTGTTTGTCAATTCTATATCTTAGTAGCCATTGCTTCTAGGAATAAGCCCCGCGCGCGACGGAAGTAAAACCATTCAGACGCAGCAGGACGCGGAATTAGAGGGTCATGAAAGATTCATTCTGGCGCAACTACAAGGAGTCACTGGGTGTGAAAATTTGGGAAGCCTACACTATCCAGCGAGTGCATTGCGTGAACCTGGTACGCCCTGCGTCAGCAATTCCCTGCAAACTTCTCTAGCAAGACTTCGTTTGCTATGCTGTTCACGCAAGTTATGCCACCGCCAGGACTTAGCCACCTTACTTTTACAGCTGCAGATGTCCAAACAAGGGTAATTCTCCTACGCAAGGATACCATACCTGCTGCTGATAATATGCGCCCAATGACCCAGTGTTATCTGCAATGAATTTGGCAGATCCACTCGCTGAATTCTTCCAGCGATTTACCGACGAAATTTGGGTTCCAACAATGTAGAAGCACGAAATCTTTATTCCGAATCATTCATAAGGGGAAGTCGCACAAATCTGGCCAACTATCGCCCGAGAAGTGTTTTCGGTGCTCTCCAAATTTATGAAAATCATATTGCCGAAGCGCTCAAGAATTACTTGAAAGGATACAAAACTATGTCGGCAGTGAAACATGGATTCCATCGGAAACTCTCTTGCACTACCAACCTGCCACTTACTTGCTCCAGTTGCAATGAAACCGTCGACTACGGTGTGGGAGTTGACGCAGCTTATCTGGACTACCCAAAGACGTTCGATTGCCTGAGCCACCGCATCCCCATTCACAAGCTACAGAGCTGCGGATTTAGTGACCAAGTTCTCCGTTGGATAGATAACTTCCTGATTTAAGGTCTGAATGTGAAAATTTGCAGCGCCATCTATGACCCTATGGATGGTCAGAGCAGAATGCCACAGCTTTCAGTACTTGGTCCACGCCTATTGCTGATTTAAATAAAGGATTTCACGAAAGCAATAACTCCCAATTTCTTAAGCTTCGCTGATTATTTATAAATATGCCAGGCCATCAAAACAACGGGCAACTCCGTAGCGCCTCAGGATGGACTTAATATGGTGTACGAATGGTTAACTCAGGATCAGCTTCATTTCAAATACATCGTGTAAAACATTAGGCATACGATGTCAACACACTTGTGAGTACAGGCTAAGATATCAAGTTTGGAAGTGTGCTTCTGCTGAGTGCGAACTAGTTGTAATAATACGGTCCTATCGTGGCCGCTCAGTTCAACTCGAGAAAGGATCCAGCGAAGCCACCAACATATTCTTTCGTGGAAGGCATTCGGGTTCTTTGTCCTTTCAATTTTCTCTTGGTCCACAGTGACTATATTAAGCCCCATCCGACATGCACCATCTACGCCTGGCGGCCCTGGAACAGGCACGATTTAACCGCACTTGAAGTGCCACAACGAAAGGCGACCAAGAATGTGAAGGGTCTGTTTCATCTCCAAAGACAAGTGACGCTGGAAACCTTAGGGTCTGCAGTGAACAACATCGTTTGATAATCACATGTTTTATCCTGAGCAATCCTAGCAATGTTGAATCACAATACCGCCGGTTGGATTGTCGCTGGAATTTATTTTCACTTCTTGTGTGCACACCTTGGAAAGCACTCCCCACTTACGCTGTCCGCCCCACACAAACCAAATTCAAAAACCTTCTAGATGCTACACTCATGCATTGGCATTACCTCATATAATCCCCAATGTCCGGGCGTCAACCTACCACACGGTGTGCACCTTTTCACTACCTGGACTTTATTTTTAGAAAGCTGTCGCTGTGGAGGGAGGAAATAACATAATGGCGAGCATCATCTTTTCCCCTTTTTATTCTCACGTAGGAGGTGAACTATAACCGATTGGTTTGTTAATGCGTGCGTATATTCAGTTTCTATTTCAAACTTCGGTATGCAGAAGTGCAGTTAAATCGGTAGATGCTTAAACCGATGATTCACTTATCCTTCGCTTTTTTAGTTTTAACTCCAATCATCCTGCGGTACTTTTCAAGCACCTGCTTTTTTACCCGCCAGAAATTGCCGTTTAGGTTTCAATGAATTTTCACATGTGCGCCGACCTCACTTTGGAAGAACCAAGCTGCCTTGGAACTGCCACCATAAAACTTAAGCCAAGAACTGAACAATGGGGAAAGGAACATGCCGGTCGTAACCTTTCGAGTAGTACACAGGTGCCAACAGATAGACACTCCGGTGTTAGCAGTAGCGTGCGATCCAATCTAGTTATCGGCTTATTGGGACGCTTATGAAGGTTCGCGGTGTTGCCAGTAAAACGGACGTGGTACTGTTCTGGATAGAACAAACTTGCCTAGATATTTTTCCTCTGACTGAAACACATGCTGACTTGCTGACATGCTGACTTCTCACTTTATATCGTTGGATACTATTGGGTGGCGCCTGGGATACTAGTCGGTATTCAATGATAAGTATGAGCAACGTCAAACACGGGACAGTATAGAAGCTGGAGACGACGGAATCCAACGTATATTGTGCAGGCTAAAAAAAGATGAAGCGTATCAACCAGAGCGAGAAACGGTGCAGCAAAGTACTCACCAAAGCGATTTGTGTCAACGGATGTGCCGTCAGTAAAACAAGTGGATGTTTTGAAGGTCAAAACAACTATAACATCCAATGTTGCAAAATGAAGAAAGAGTTTTTCTCAGTACACTACAAGGGTCTCCTCCTAGAATACTGAAGGATGGAAGCATTCGATGGAGCTGTTAGCGGGGAAAAACGGGAGATGAGTATGGGTGCGAATAGTCGCATAAGCTTGAAGAAGCGCTTCCACGATGGAGTGTGTAGCAAAGTTCGCTGGTTCCAGGCTTTGTTATTAATCATTTACGATCGCTTGGGGCGGGCTGGTCGGACTGCAAAAATACTGGCTAGTTCAGAGAAAAGACCGACAGGACGTTCCCTCGGCTGCAGACCCGACGGTGCGCTAGGGAGGTTTCACTCCTCCACCGCACTGCAGTCCATGGTCCCCGTCCCACGAAGAAATCCAACGGCTTCGTCAGCTACGCCTAGCCAGGCGTTTGGGGACCAACCCGTTCTTGGCTGTCTGCGGCTGATGGCGACTGACTATTCTTCGGGTCAGGAAGGGGGCCTTGGGTCGGCTGGCGAGTCACTCTAGGGTTGCCTTGAGCTAATTGGCGGGTCATTCGAACGTTGCCTTGTCAGTTCCGCCTGTTGAGTTTCTGGTAGAACTTAGTGGGGGTGAGCAAGGGTCGTGGGAAGTGGCTTGATGTCGGAGAGGGTACATGGAATGTATGAGAAGAGCAAAGAGGCTTTTAGGGTTTTCAAAATGTTTTGGGCTTTTTGTCGATTCTGCAAAACGTTAATGGATGAGACGCACGATTATCACTAAAAACTAAAAAGATGTGTTAATGGAAATAGCAAAGGATTACAATATCTGAAAAACAGACCGGACGCTTAACCTGTCTACGGCGCCGGTCGGTTGCCTGGGGTTCAGGCTGGGTAGGTTGGGGGTCAAGGGGAAATGAAGGTTTCGGACTATCCAGGGCTCGGGAAGTCACCGCAGGTGCATATGCTTGTGTGACAGCATCAGGATGGGTCGCAAGCGGTTCGCCAAAGAAAGACACTTTAAAGCACTCGATGGACACCGTTGTTCGGTGAAAATTCTGGTCTAAAGTAAAATGTTTCGGAGTCCGTTGCAGGAATCTGAAAGGACCAGTGTAGAGAGGCTGGAGAGGGCGTCGCACTGCATCGGTGCGGAGGAAGACGTGAGTGCAGCTAGAGAGTCCGCTGTGCATTTGCACATTTCTAGTCTGTTCACGGGCGCAGCAGGGCGTAGTGAACGCATGCATTGAGCTAGGGAGAACGCAAAGTTAAGCGGAGGCATACCGGACGATGCGGGAAGCGAAACAAATTCTCCAGGTAACTTTAGCGTTGTGCCGTAAACCAGCTCTGCTGGCGCACATTGCAAGTCAGCTTTGATGCTGTTGCGAATGCATAAGGGTACTAGCGAAACGGTTTCGCTCCAGCTAGGGTCGGAGGAGGCGCAGTGTGAGGCCATAGGCTCTCTATGGAAGCCTTCTAATGACCAGCTGGCTGCTGGGTGATAAGATGTGGTATGAATGCAGCGACAGCCTTAAACGTTGCAGAACGTATCGAATTGTAAAGATCCGGAAGGCCTTCCTCGGTCACTTGTGATGGTGGATAAGCATCCGTAGTGGGAGACCCACTGGTCTAAGAAGGTCAGGATAACATTCTCAACAGTGCAGTATGTTACAGGACTGGCTTCTGGCCAGGTGGTGAAGCGGTCGACACATGTAATAATGTATACGAATCCGCGTGAAGGGGGCAAGGGACTTACCAGGTCTACGTGTACATGCGAGAACCGAGAGTCCGGGGCTGGAAATAAATCAAGAGGGCTGCGAGTGTGACGATGTACTTTAGAGCGCTGGCATCAAGGGCAGGCGCGAGCGCAGGTACGAACATCTTTGTTTACGCGTGGCCAAACGAAACGTTCGGTGACCAGTTTCAAAGATGCACGGATACCAGGATGTAATAGTGAATACAGTGCATCAAAGACTGTGCATCTGAAGGAGACGGGCACGAGGGGTCTAGGACAACCTGCTGAAGTGTCACAGAGTATGGTTCCTTTCGTGGTTTGGAGAGGAACAGGTTGCACATGCAGCGAAGTGGACTGCAGAGTGCGCTGTATATCTTCGTCTTGAACCTGAGCCGATGCCATGGCAGCAAGGTCGACGGTAGGCAAAGACTGGAGAGTGAGGTTGACGCGTGAAAGAGCGTCGGCGAAGGGATTGTAGACACCTGAGACATGACGTATGTCAGCAGCGAAATGCGTGACAAAGTCTAGGTGTCTTGTTTCCCGTGGTGAGTATTTGTCGCAAGCAGAGTTGAAGGCAAAGATAAGGGGCTTGTGGTCAGTGTGGACCGTGAAAGCGCAGCCTTCAAGTGTGTGCCGGAATTGACGTATCGCTAGGTAAATGGCCAGCAGTTCTCTGCCAAACGTGCTGTAGCGGGTTCCCGCTGGCTGTATGCGCTTGGAGAAGAACCCAAGGGGTTGCCATTGCCCACCAACGTGCTGTTGGAGGACGGCTCCTATCGCGACGTCTGAGACATCAGTCGTAATAGAAAGAGGTGCAGTCGACTCGGAATGAGCGAGGAGGGTTGTGTTGGAGACAGCATCCTTGAGCTCGGCGATGGTTGCCTGTGCTTTGTCAAGGAAAGCGAACTTACGTTCATTCCCATTGATTAAGTCAGTCAAAAGCTGCATGAGCTGAGCGCAGCGCCGAAGGAGCGTCGATAGTAGTTGCTCAAACCACAAAATTGTCGATGGTGCTTGAATGAAGTCGGAGCTGGGAAGTCCTTGATTGCCTAGATCTTATCATGAAGGATTTCAATACCAGACGATGAAACGAGGTGGCCTAGGAATTTTACCGTTGAGTTGCCGAGTTCGCACTTAGTCCGGTTGATCGTGACACTAGGTTGGGTCAAGCACTGGAAGAGAGTTCGAAGATGCTCGAGGTGCTCTTATTCCGATGAACTGGCTACTTAAACATAATCGACGTAGAAATAAGGGAAGTCCAGGCCACAAGTGACCTCGTGGATGAAGTATTGGAAAGTTTGTGCAGCGTTGCACAGTCCGAATGATATTCTTAAAAATTTAAACAAGCCGAGTGATAACGGCTATTTTAGGAATGTCATTTTTTTCTGAATGTACCTGGTGACAGGCGCGAACCAGATCGACCTTGCTGAAGATCGTCTTACTTGTGAGGCATGCGGTAAGATCCTGCATGTGTGGGATGGGATACCTATCTGGGACGGTTAGCAGATTGCGTGCGCGGTAATCACCGCCTGAGCGCTACTAACCAGATTGCTTGGGAACCATCTGCAGGGGAGAGGACCAAGGGCTATACGAATGGCGGATTATTCCAAGTTCGAACATGTGCTCAAACTTCGGCCTCGCTACCTTTAGTTTCTCGGGCGATAGTCGACGTGAACGGCATGAGACGGGTGGGCCATTCGTCAGTACAGGGTGCATGACTTAGAATGCCCCGGGCGAAACCATTTTCATTAACTGAACGTGCTTGCAATACTGAGAAAAGATGTTGGTGTAGTCTAGCGAGGTCTGAGGAAAGGCGTAGACTGGTGTTATATATTCGATATCAGCGGTGATGCCACACACATTGAGTTTCGTTGCAGTGTCGACTATCGTCTGACGTTTCGCATCGACCAAGTGGTCATAATGCCTGAGAACGTCAATGCTGATGACGGCAGAGGTGACCGTAGCAACGGCGAAGACCCAGCGGAACGTGCGCCGAAAACAGGTTTTGGGTAAGCGACTGATGACCGTAGGTGGCTATTGGCTTGCCATTGGCGGCACTTAGGCATGCCGACAAAGCAGCGGTAGACTCGCCGGACATAGGGAGAATGACGCTGACTTCCGTCCCGGTATCAACGAAGAACTGAATCTCGGAATCATAATCCCTAATGCAGATAATACGACTTTGGGTTTTGCCGACGTTCGTGGCCATTAGAAGCCGGCTTGGCGGATCATCAGTAGCGGAGTAGTTACATGGCCGTACTTACTTACGGGCTTTATTACTGAAACGCGAGTGGTAAAAGCAGTAACCTGGTGGTTCACGTTTGGTGCGACGGGGCGATGGTCCAGAGCGGCTGCGGTGCTTGCGATTTAAAGTGAGTTCCTCTATCTCGCGCTGAAACGACGCTATCCGCGATGGTAATGTGTCTATTGCCAACGGCTGGCTAGTCGCGGTTGTTGGTTTGGTTGCACTAGCACAACCCTGCTTAGGTGCTTTGCTTTTAGGCTCTTGCTGATGCCGTTCGAGGATGCGATCTTCTAGAACTGCAATTGCTGTGAGTGGCAGCTCACTTGCTACTGCAAGAATAGCCTGAGTGCTTTCAGGAAGGCGATGCATCCACAGCTCGCGGAGCATTCCTACGTCCATATTGGAAGAGCCGATGAGCTGTTGCATTTCGCTCAACATGACTGAAGGCATGCTATCTCCTACTTGCAAATCACTAAATAGTTGCTGCAGAGGGACCTAGTCAAAAGGCGTGATTCGCTGAATAATAGCCTGTTTAATAGTCTCGTATTTCGTTACAAAAGGGGGCAAAATATGATATCACTCACCTGCGAGGATATACACTGTGGAAGGCGAAATAGTAGCTGATTATACATGGAGACATCAGAAGAAATCCTTTGAATATAAAAGAGAGATTCTAGCTGCAATAACCATAACGAAGGATCATTCACCCAAAATGGAGAGGCTAACGTAACAGATTCGACCGTGACAGGCTTAACGGCTCTAACTGCGTATGGAGCCGGCTCATCCTCCAGATAATCCTTTGCAAAAAGCGCATACAAAATGGTGCGGGTGAGAAAACAATATGCTCACAAGTACTGATGCTCAAAATCACTGGAACAAGCTCATTAGAATAAAAATTCAAAATGGCGGACGGCGTGTTCTGAGGCGGGATCACCAATTGTTGCGTGGTGCCTGGGACCCTAGTCGGTAATTAGTGACACTTAAGATTCGTGTCAAGAACGGGACAGTATAGAAATTGGAGGCGACTGAACCCAACGTGCATTGTGCAAGCTCCAAAAAGAGGAAGCGAATCAACCAGAGCGAGAAACGGTGCAGCAAGGTACTCACCAAAACGATTTGTGTCGTCAGTAAAATAAGTAGCCGTTTTAAAGGTTAAGACAACCGTAACATCCAATGTTGAAGAATACTGAAAAAGCATGTTTTCCGGTACACTACAATACATGACAGTTCAACGCGAAGGGCCGAAGAGGCTAACGGTTGCGTATAGTTGTACATAAAATCCGGCATTCGAGGTTGGCACGTGCCCACTTATCATACTGTTGACAGCCTATGCCGTCAGCGTTGGTGCACAGCAACTGTTGGGGCGAATGAACAGAATGCGGAAGCCATAGATCGCAGCTCTGCGAATACTACTCGCGATTGGCTCCAGGTTGTGCAGTAGCGTTTGAACTGCTGTGATTTTCCGTTGTTTGGTGACTTTAAAGTTCACCATATCCATTGGGTCGGTTGACGCACGAATACATCAATGAGGAACATTTTGCATTATTCTGTATCGTCTTAATGCAATTAAGCGACGTTCACTCCTTCTACTCGGCTTCACCAGCCACCTCTAACAGATCTTAAAGGACAGGGAAGATTTCCTCGCTTCACCACTCCATGTGAATTTACCGCTTTAGGTGGGATACTAGGTAAAGATCGCGAGCAACACTGTCCCGCTCTTCTGCTCTTCGCCAAGCTATTTATCCCCATCCCAACCGGTACGCTCACGTTTAAGCTACAAGCTCCATCTCAACGTTATCCACCATTTTGTGTAGTAGCTGCAGCCGTATTTGCGAATACTACCTGCGCATCGCATCTACTACTATCGGTCCAAGCTCCAACGTACGGAACACATCACAGCCCAGCCTAAGCAGCTAAGCTCGGTGTGCCCCAGTTGTTTGCCTACTACTCGTACCAGCCTATCGCATTCCCAGTGGAGTGTTATTTGCGGTCCCATGACAAGACTGGAAAACGTGCCAATCTGGGCAATCGGTAACGTGGAGAAGCAGCGTAAAAATGGCAAACACAAGTTTACCATCCGTCGGAGAGGTCAGCTTACCAGAATGGGGACCAGGCGACGCCGACTGCCTGTGGTTGGAAAGGCTGGAGGCTATGTTGTGAAAGAGACATCACTGGCGACAGCTTTGCTAATGTCTAATAGAACAGACACCAAAAACAACACAAAATGCGCAAATGATGTAGGTACAACCCAAAAAGTGTTTCCGCCTTTTATCGTATTTCCTTTCCCTGTTTACCTTGGTCCCGATGGTAGCACGAGTTGAATTCGACCACATGTTTCAGTTTGGTGTCGTCAGACTGTGCAACAGCCGATGGGCATCGCCCCAGCACATGGTCCCCAAGTAAGGCGTGTAATACGCGTGCCCTGACTGGTCGCATAGTAAACGTGCTCACAGTTGTCACAGTTCCAAGCCTTCTTCTTCTTCTTCTTCACCTAACGCAGTCATCATACACTCGAAGCGGCTTAACTCCCCTAGTTCAGTGGGCATATTTTTACGAAATTA